AGAGCGCGTCCCACCTCAGCGCTGCCTTTCCGTACCCCTGCCCTCTGCAGGAATTACCCTGGGGGGAGAGAGGGGTCCTGGGGACCCCCAGGACTTATGATACCTGGCAAGGGGCTGGTGGGACAGCCCCAGAGCTGATGGGAAAAGGCACTGGGACAGGATGGCCAGGAGGTGATGCCACCAGGGGACACGGGGTGGACACATGGCCCTCGGGGGGGGCAGAGTGACACCAGGGAGGGCTATGATCCCCCACAGGGGCCTGCAAACAAGGCAGGGGGATCGCAGTGGGCACGTTTAAGCCTATCATGGGAAACAGCTCCCCAGTTTTCACCATAACCCCTCTTCATGGCCAGAGCCAACACCCAGGACAGAGCTGGCCGGGGCACTGCCACTCCAGAGCCAACCCCTGTCCCATCCCTCCTCCTCAGACCACTCACTTGGGGAAGGCATCGAACCAGTAGGTCTTCTTGGTCTCGGGGAAGGCGACTCTCATGCCAGAGGTGAGTGGGGAGTGGAGCACAATGGCAGCGCACTCATAGCGGGAGGCCAGATCAACCGTGGGCACCGTGCCGATGCTCTGTCCGTACAAAATAATGTTCTCTGGGCTGATTCCATACCTGGGAGGGGAGAGGGCAGGTCAGCGCCCAAGTGCCAGGCAGCAGTCACATCGCCCGGAGATACAGCGCAGGGGGTCACCCTGCTCTGGCCACAGCACCCTGCAAGGCTTCCTGGGGTGGGGTAATGGGGTTCTATCCTCCCTGCCTTCCCCCAGCTCCTTGTGGCTGGGCCCAAAGCGGCTGCCCTGCACCCCCGTCAAGACCAGGCAGCTGCTGCCGGATGAGTTTTGGGGGTGGTCAGGGCTCACCATTGCCAGGGGCAGGGTTACAGAGGGGTTCCTGGACCCCGGATCAGAGGGCACAGGGCAGGCCGGGGCATGCTGCGAGGCAGACGTGGCTGCAGGCAGGGCAGAGGAGGCAGAGCCCATCACGGGGCTGCACCTTGAGCCCGGTGGGCAACCCGGGCTGGGTACAGTCAGGGGAGAGCCTGGGAACAGCAAGATGGGGAGCACAGCTTGTGCCAGTGCCCCCCAACCAAGGTCACGCCCCCACAGCATCCCTGCCCCGCTGGGACCCCTGGCCTGCTTCCCCCCACAGCTGCTTTCCGGCCACCCCTTCCCGTTAGGAGCAGTCTGGGTTCCCTCTCCGGGAGATTTCCTGTTTTCCAGACTGCCGGCCTGCAGGGTTTTCCTGACATCCTCCCTTCCCCCTGCCCGGCGCCCCGCTCACCGCGTCCGCAGCGCCTGCCATGCGGCATCGATGTCGGAGTAGAGGTTCCTCTCCGAGGGTTTGCCCGTGCTCACGCCGTAGCCCGAGTAGTCGTAGGAGAAGATGTTGCAGTTGATGCGGGTGCCCAGCCCGATGTAGAAGCTGCTCATCTGGCCCAGGTCCACGGCGTTGCCGTGCGAGAAGAGCACCGTGTACCTGCAGCATCGGGGAGGGACGGGCACGGACGGTTAATCGGGGGCGCTGCCGCGGTGCTGCCCAACCCTGCCACTGGCTCCGGGACGGATGTGCCCGGGCAGTGCCAGCCAGGACATCCGCTTCGGAGGCCGAAAGCCAAACCCCGGGATGTGAAGAACCCTCTTGCCACCAAGGAAGGTCGTCGCGACACCCCCGGCCCAACCCCAGAGACACCCAGACCCTCCTCACCGCCAAGGGCTCGCTCCCCGCAGAAACGGGCAGCCTGAAGGCAGGATGATTCTATTCAAGTTTTTGAGTCTATTTTTGGTAAAAAGCGCAGGATTTGGGGCCGTTTGCCCAATGGGGATTTCAAGTAAGAATCCTGACAGCGGATTTTTTTCTCCCCTGAGTCTGGCAAGACACCAGACACTGGAGAGAAGTGAATTGTGGGAGTGACAAGGCACAAGAAATTTCCACCATAAGGGGAAAGACAATGTTAATCATAAAAATTAACACTAACAGCGCATCAGTGGAAGCTTGGCTCTCTTCTGTCAGGGGGAGAGAGCAGGACCCACTCCCTGCTGACCCCCCTCAGTTGGTCCAAGTGCTCTGTGCCCAGGCTGAGCCTCCAGGTCCCAGGCTGGATGGCCCAGAAATCCCGGCATGAAGGTGGTGCAAGACGAGCCCTGATGCCCCAGGTGGTTTGGGTGGGCCGGATCCCAACCCCAGCCCGGGCCCTTCCCTCCAGCCCCACAGCCTGTGTGAGAGCAGGGCACGGAGCCTCGCTGCAGCAGGGCACGGGCACCGCGCTCCTGGCACCGGTTTCCTCTCTCCAGGACCTGCGACGCAGCCATGGACGAAGCAGACATCCCTTCAGGGCAGCCCAGAGGCCTCCTGCAACGCCGCTCTCCAGCCCTCACGAGAGCCATCCCCCCGTGCCCGAATCTCACACGACTGGCCTGCAAAGCCCTTGGCGAGCCGAGGGCAGATCCGGGCTGCGCTCCTGCACAGGCCTCTGTGGAGGCCGTTCCTTGGCGGGCACGTTGGATACTGGTGTGAGCTGGGCTGCTGCTGGCTTTGGGACCTAGCCTCCCCCTGCACCTGATCCCCAAGTTGTGCCACCAGCTCGGGGAGCAGCCGCTTACTCCCCGCCTGTCCCCGCACCATCCCCTCCTGCCTAGCCACCAGCAGCCAGGATGGGGGTCTCCACCCCACAGCCCAGGCTGCCCCTCTCCAGCTCCCCAGTTTACGGACCCACGGGATGACCAGTCGCAGGCTGTGCCCAAACCTCTCCCGCCTTTCACTCCCATCGCGCTCCTCCTTGAGGAACCAAACGTGCCCGTGACTCAGACTCATCGCGCGTCTCCTGCCGGCGCAGGTTCCTACCCCAGCGTGTGGTCACTGCGGGGCTGAGGATGGAGGGCGAGCGGCCGGCACAGACCCCCCGGCCCTCACCGAGAGCCTCGCACAGATGCTCGGTTCACAGCTGAAGCATTATGTCACCAGCGTGACAACAGAGACCTGTGGGACAATCTAGGGAATCC